TGTTTCTTAACCTCTTATTTTTCCTGCAAAGTTTTAGGGAAAGAAAACTGGCCTGAGTTTGTTTTTTTGTCTGGAAATCTGGATCTTTTCCTTAGGAAAAAATTCCACTAGTCAAGAAGTTTTGGTAGAAAAGCTTTCCGTTTTGGATTTCTTGCAATCAGGTAAGACTTTTTGGTTTCTATAGTTAACCGAAACTAGGACAGACAGAATAATAAATATTAGTACGTAGCACCTAAATATACATTAAATGTACACCTACTTGCAGTTGGTACAGGTTTTAAAAAAGGACGGTGTAAATAGAAGTCTGTCTTAAATCTTTCTCCGTAAACACAGTTTCTTTACATGTCTACCATTTTCAACATTCAGATACATTGTAAGTAAGTTGAAAGCCCTTTCATGTTAATGTCTTGTTCATATAAAAATCTAATATCTACATATATTTGTGACGGATGTTACAAGACATTACATGTATTATACACATTTTCGTTTACTAGAAGACTACAATTTGCATTTTAAGTATTGTCAAGTTTCAATTAAATTAATCGAACTTGTGCATCTTTGGTTCATGCAATTATCGATACTCCTCAGACCAATTTAAGGTTCAAGTCATACTTCCACACTTGATTTCAATTAATTTTTTTGTGTTAAAATAAATATGAATACCAAATTTTTAAAACTGCAACACAATTAAAACAAGCACATTAAAAAAAAACGAGGAAGCTTTTTACAAAAGCTACGTATACGTTACAGTTTATAAAAGAGTGACATAATTTCAATTCTAATATTTGAAGTTAGCTATAAACTTTATGTTCAAGGAAAAATTTGTTTTTCATGCCCGTTCAATTTGTGAGAATATTAACACTAAATTAGCCAACCCAGATGATTTCCAAAATAGTTTCAAAGCTAAGAAAGGCCTTTGTATGATCAATTGCAGACTATTTGTCATGGTTAAATTGCCATTATTGATTAGCGAACAGCTTCCCTCGATCGTTCTATGACCAGCACGCACAAAATATAATCTGCATCCTTGAGTATTACAAGATACTCGCAGTGGGTGGTGGAGGAGAAAAGTTTGATTTGTTGTTAATGTCTATTTAATATGCCATGTTGTTTTATAACAAGACTTTAATTACCCGTTACTAACTATACGTTTTCAAAATATTACTAAAACACTTCTGAACTGAGAGTGAGATCTTTTGGCAAAAATTAAAAAGAAATATAACTTATAACTTTTCCTCTAAAGATAATTTATTATTTTATGTAGGATAGGGTTATATATTACTACATGTAGCAATGTGTGCCTTTATTTTATCTATATAAATATTTTATCTGTTTAAAATAAACGATTCAAAGCTCCACTATACAAGCTTTTAGCGAGACAAAAAATACATAATATTTAAAAAAAAAATACAAAATGAATAAATAAATAAATAAAAACAGGAACATTTTTTTTCATCTACAACAATAAGCAGATAAGTTTACTTAACCCTTTACTGATATAATTTTTTTAATACCATTAACTTCTGTTTCCTTAAACTTTCAGGAAAAAAACTAAAGTATCTAATAAATGGAGTAAAATTTATGTTCTTACAGATGATTTTTTTGTTTTAAATGTCAGTGGGAATGAGAGTTATGGCTCAGAGGGGTTTTCACTTAAAGGGAAAAAATACATTCTTTGCACCGAGAAATGGCGTTTTTACCCACATTGGAAATTTAACCCGCTGGTCCATAATGGTGTATGTTTTGCAGGGTCAATTTACAATTCTGGATCCCCTCATCTTTAAGGCTGAAACATTAATTACTGTGTCTATCTACATATTCGATAAAAGATATTGATAAGACTTTATATTTCTTCTAGGATAATATATTTCTAAACATATTTTGGTTTGAGGACAGATGATACAAACAAAAAATGGATGTCTGGATTGGTATATATTTTTTGGTCTAATTTCATTGCAAATGATGCAAATAATAAATTTCTAGAAAATAAAGAAATTTTAAACCTTCTCTAATGTTCAAAAGTATGCCCTTCTGAAACCATCCTTATTAATCTAATCAATTATTTTCACTTTTAATTCCATTTTTGTGCAAATTTGAATAAAAAATTAAAAACTACGCGGTGAAAGTTATTCAATTTACACATTTAAACATGACCCAACTTGCTATTTTCAAAATCTTTGACAAAAGTTTGTATCATCTGTCCTTAAAGTAGGACTCCAAGCAATTTGCCCATTCTTTGAACTTTTCTTTTTAATCAGTTCGGTCGATTTTACTTGAGAAAATTACCTTCTTAAAATATCTTTTATTCAACACAAATAATCGCTTAATATGTTGATGATGTTAGGAATAAACAAGGCTTTATTTACATTGTAAGTAGAATTAAACTTAATGTACATGAATCTCTATATCATGTGTCCATCAAAGAAAATGCTTACCAGTTTATTATCTTTGTAGATTATCTGCTGAAAAAACCAATTAGTCTTTAAAAAATATATTTTCATACAACGTTAACGTTATGTTTGTGAAATTTATTCATCGTGTAAGTACATGTAAACTATTTCATTAAAATCAGGTTTTGAACGTAGCTATGTTAATAATTTGATATGCGTTTTAAAATAAAGAATTAATTTGAATTTGCACATTCCGCAGTTATTAAAGGAGCATCCTCAAAACCCTTTTTAATCATGACCGATATATAAATGATATGCAGATTTATCATTTCTGAAAAAAGCATGCACGGAAGAGATTGACCTAGTATCTTTTTGAATTAATAGGCGTGCTCATAACATTACGTATTATATACATGTATGTAAAACTTATTCATGCTGAATTTTACGTATAATATAACTCATTTTAGGGACATAAGAGTGCATCAGTGATTTCTCTCTATTGGATACGCACGAAGCTTCTAGATGCAGCGTTTTCTGTGATTGGAAAAATATATGACAAGAAAGATGCTCCACTACATACCAAAGTTTTGAATGCTGAAGTAACTGTGCAAGGATACCATAGGATCTGTCCCTGCGTGTTTAGTCTAATATACCACTATTCAATTCATCCACACGTTCAAAATGAAGGCGAGGGCAATACCTGTGCACTCGAAACCATCTCATCAAACCTTATTCACATCAATTTCAACGTAGCTATTTATGTAAAAACTATATGTATATAGAACTGTATTTAGCCTTCCGGTGCCTTCGGATATTGGTCTTGTCTCACAAGAGCTGCGTATATCTTTTTAGAGCAAAATACATGGAGTATTTTATTTTTCTCACAAAAAACTGTAAGGAACCTACTAATGGAATGTACATAGCCTTAGCCTCCAAGAAGAAAAGTTTTACTCTGGAGCTAGTATTCTTTTCTTAGTAGAACTGAATAAAGCCCTCTAGAGAAATATTACTCCACGGTTTTTCAAATGATAATTGTACTAAGCCGTCTAGAGGAATATAACAGCATAGTTCACATTTTGTATTACAAGAACTCTACGTAGAATTCAAAAGAATATTACTCATTTGTTCATATTTCGTCTAATTAGGAATGTACAAAGTCTCCTAGTGGTGTTGTATTAGAAATGTATGTAAATTTCGAGAGGAACACACCTTTGAAGTTCTGATTTTGTCTTATAAGAAATGAACATAGCTTTCTAGAGGAATATAACTCCGTAGTTCAGATTTTGCCCTATCAGAAATGTACATAGCATCATGGAGGAATATTCCCCCGTAGTTCAGATTTTGCCCTAATGGCTATTAGAAATGCACATAGACCTCTAGAGGAATATTCCTCCGTAGTTCATATTTTGTCTTAATAGAGATTAACATAGCCTCCTAGAGGAATATTACTCTGTAATTCAGATATTGTCTTTTTTGAGAGTGAAGTACATATAGTCTCATAAAGGAATAATACTCCGTAGTTCAGATTTTCTTATTTAGAACTGTACAAACTCCTAAGATAGTTCAATTTGTCCTTCATAGAACTGTGCATACACAACCTTCTGGAGGAATATTACTATGTAGAAAAGACTTTGTTTACCTCCACTTATGCTGAGTTCACCTCGCATTCTAGATGTTTTTTTACAACTACACAAATTCTATCAGATATATTATTTACTCTGTAGTTAATTTTCGTTTTGTAGAGGATGTAAATAAGATTTTGTTTCATTTGTGTCATAATAACCTTTTTGAGGAAACCCGTATATATTTTGTTTTATTGGAATTGCAGTTTTTAAGAGAAATATTACTTTTTGGATGAAATTTTGTCTTTTTAGAGCTCCTCAAAGTCTTTCAATTGAATAATATTACGTAGTTTATTTTTTTGTTTAGTCAGAATTTCAATCCTCCAGAAAAATATTACTAGTATTTCAAAGATATGTTTTTACCTCTAAGTGTTGTAAATATCTAGAGGATTATTACTCCGTCGATAAACTTTCGTCGTAGTACATGTATAGCATTACATAGAGGGATATTACTCTGTGGCTCAGATTAAGACTTAATAGAACTGTGTAATATAAGCCTTCTGGGGGAATATTACTCCCTAGATAAGTGTTTGTCGTAGCAGATCTGTACATAGAAAAATTTTACCCCGTAGTTCATAATATGTCTTAACAGACTTTACTCCGTAGTTAGATTTTGGCTCAATAGAGCTGTGCATACATAGGTATAGCCTTCTGGAGGAATATTACTCCGTAATACAGATATTGCTTCAATAGAACTTTGCATACTTAGCGTTCTGGAGGAATATTACTCTGTAGATAAGTTTCGTCGTAGTAGAGCTGCACTTAGAGGAATATTACTACATAGTTCAGATTATTTCTTATAATCATCGTACAAAATCTTCTAGAGGAATATTACCCTGTATACGAGATTTTGTCTTACTTAGGCCTTACAACATTTTTGTTTTAGTTTAGAGTTGTAAATAACCTTAGAGGAATATTACTCTGTAGTGAATTTTCAGACTTCAGAAGCTTTGCATTGGTCTTACAGAGGAATATTACTCCGGGGGTAATGGGTGAAGTTTTTGTCACACTCGAATTGTACATGTGCGTATATTTATAGAGGAATGTTACTCCATACTTCAGTGTTTTGTAGAAAGACTGTTCTAAATATGAATAAATTTTTTAAGAAGATATCTCTGATTTGTTTCTTCTTATTCGTATTACAGAGGTTGTATTAAATCATATTAAACTCTGAATTGAAACCCGGAAAAGGTACGGTGAAGCACAGTACCTTTTTATTTTGCTGTCCCTTATATATAGATTAGTATAAAACTGTCATGGATTAATCTTGGGATAAACTGTTGATTATGTATAATTACTAGGGATGTCAAATCGGTCAATTTTTAATACTCGGTTACTCGGACTTTTTCCGATCGAGTACCCGGGTACTCGGTAAAAGTGTAAATAAATATAAACAAGAAAATTGATGAATGTAAAACATTGTAAACACCTGTAGAGATAAAATCACATGCTCTGATAGGAGGTTTACACGTAAATGCATTTCTGTTGTAACAATGATGAAGAACTTCGTGCCCGACGAAATTTAATACATTTTTTTAAGTTCAATTTATTTATCAGATAAACACAAGAAATAAAATCGTAAGACAGTGGTCTTTTTGTTTAAAGAAAAATAATTTACTCCGTTATTGTAATAAAATTCTTTGTTGCATTTGACGTCAAGTTATATATATATCAGAGTCGTACAGTTTGACTTGAACTTGACCAAGTTCTAACAGAGCCGATTTAAGATTTTCGTAAACTTTTCGATCCTAGATTCTATAGTACCACAGGACGGTATTTTGTAGTTTGGTGCAACGATGGACATCAGCTTTTCCTTCAACTATTTGTACATGTATTGGCATGTAATCAAACACAACCATATCAACAGTCGCGCGTGTAATATCATCTGTCTCTTTTCCCGAGAATTTACGGCTTCTCGGAGAATTGACAAAATTATCTAATTTATCTAATCATAACAGACGTTTTTATACAATATATTGTTCCCTCATTGCAGTGCTACCTGCTGAGAAATCTTATGATCTTGATCACATGCTGCAGGAGCTACACAGTAATTCCAACAAGATTTTTCAGCTCCAGGACGGTAAGGCAATGAAATGGAAATGGTTCTGAATTTTCAGAAGAATGGCATTCAAAACTAATCTGAAAGAAGACCATTTTATCTCTCTGTAAAAATGTAAGCAATGAGCAGAACTGGATTTGAAGGTCAAATGTGCTCAATGTCTACACAAGCATACATGTATTTATCTGCCTTAAATTGGTTTTTGTTACTTTGGTCACTGCTACTTTTGTCATTGAATGTTCTTTGAAAAATTTCAGAAATTGAAATTTAAAATCATCACTAATCTACTTGTAGGATTATTTGTACATGCTTCATTAAATGATTCATTACTAATAACTGCTACATGTAAATTCAACATTATGCACTATGTCTCATCTTTTCTTGGACATTGTTTTTAAGGATATTTTGGTGACTGTGGAATTAATATTTTGTTAGGGCCAACTAATTTTTGTGGAATGCTTATATGTATAGGTTTGTGGGGATGTATACTTTTATTTTTTTATGTCTACAGAAGGAAACATGACTTGATTTAATAATCAATGCAGGGGCTGACAAATAGATTTTTAAGGCACTAGTCCAAGGGCAAGTACATGGTCAAAATTGACTTGCCCTACCTGAATTTTTGCTTGCCCTATCATAAACTAATTCTGTATTTATAGATATTTCCAAAAAGAGGAAGACAAATTCTGAGCAAGCCCCCTTGACCAGCTTTTAAATGGCCTACAAATAAATTCTGTTTTTTGAAAAGTCACTTGCCCACGGGCAAGTGGTTGATAAAATTCCACTTGCCCATCCCCTAAAATTCACTAGCCCGGGCGTCGGGCAATGGGATTTGTCATCCCTTGATCAATGGATAGATTTTTAATTCGCAGATGATATGTTAATTAATAGATGAAAGGTAAACTTAAATCCACGAAAATTGAGCCACCATAAAATTTAAAGATAGTTCTAATGTTTAAAAGTGTTAACTCAAATGATGTATTGTTTCAGAGATAGAAGGAGCTCAGTCACACCTAGGTATAAAAATCAAATTTCACGAGGACTCAACCTGTACCAGTGTTTCTGACAGAGTGTTTGAGGCCTGTGGAGGCTCTGAGTTTGGGAATGCCAGTCTACCAGGTACAGTGAAACCTGTCTAATCTGAAACCTGTCTAATCTGAAACCTGTATTGTCTGAAACCTGTATTATCTGAAACCTGTATTATCTGACATGCACTGGGATACAGTTTTTAGCTCACCTGAGCCGAAGGCTCAAGTGAGTTTTTTTGATCACATTTTGTCCGGCGTCCGTCTGTCTGTCTAGCTGTCCGTCTGTCTGTTAACTTTTCACATTTTCGACTTCTTCTCAAGAACCCCTGGGCCAATTTCAACCAAACTTGCCACAAAGTATCCTTGGGTAAAGCGGATTCAAGTTTATTCAAATGAAGGGCCACGCCCTTATTCAAGGGGAGATAATTGGGAATTAATGAAAATTTAGTGGTATATTTTAAAAATCTTCTTCTCAAGAACCTCTGTGCCAGGAAACATGAAACTTATGGGGAAACATTCTCAGGTAGTGTAGATTCAAATTTGTTCAAATCATGACCCCCGGGGGTAGGGCGGGGCCAAAATGGCCGACCAAAATTTTACATAGAAATATATAGGAAAATTCTTTAAAAATCTTCTTCTCAAGAATGACAAAGCCATAATTCATCATATTTATATGGGAGCATGCTCATGAAGTGTATATTCAAGTTTGTTACACTCAGGACCCCCCCCCCCCCCCCCGGTAAGGGCGGGGCCAAAATGGCCGACCAAAATTTAACATAGAAATATATAGGAAAATTCTTTAAAAATCTTCTTCTCAAGAATGACAAAGCCATAATTCATCATATTTATATGGAAACATGCTCAGGTAGTGTAGATTCAAGTTTGTTAAAATCATGACCCCCGGGGGTAGGGCGGGGCCAAAATGGCCGACCAATGTTTTACATAGAAATATATAGGAAAATTCTTTAAAAATCTTCTTCTCAAGAATGACAAAGCCATTATTCATCATATTTATATGGAAACATGCTCATGTAGTGTAGATTCAAGTTTGTTCAAATCATGACCCCCGGAGGTAGGAAGGGGCCAAAATGGCCAACCAAAGTTTTACATAGAAATATATAGAAAAATTCTTTAAAAATCTTCTTCTCAAGAATGACAAAGCCATAATTCATCATATTTATATGGAAGCATGCTCAGCTAGTGTAGATTCAAATTTGTTCAAATCATGACCCCTGGGGGTAGCAGGGATTTTTTTAGGGTCTCTCTGGGGCCGAAATTCGGCCCCATTCCCAATGATGAAATGTGCATGTTTTTCCCAAAATTACACCTAAAAATTCCCAAAATGAAAAGAAGTGTTAAGTTGTAAATTATTAAAATAAAACAATGAATAAAAGGGGTTACGTTCCCTATATGCTATATATTGAGATATGCAATCGCAAATACTCGGCCATTTGCGTAAACGATAAATAGGAGCCATCCGAGAAGTCATTCGGAATACTACGGATGTTTCTTAAGCAGGATCGATGTTTAAAAATTTAAGTCGGGATCGATATTTAATAAATTAATGTGCATCATGGCGGTCTCTCCGGTTTGCCCCAGACGGTAATTTTCAGGCTGGGTTGAATTGCTCTTGAGTCTTATTCTTATAAACTAGTCAATCAGTACCGATTAATTACTCATCAGGAAAAAAACCTAATATCAAATTTCATTTATAACGAACTTCTTAAATAACGGTAAAAAAAAAAAAAAGATGACAACGTATAAATATGTTCATTTACAATTTTATCATACTTGGCGGCTTTGCCATTTTTTTGCTTCTAAACTTCAACAGCCGCTATTATTTCATATCAGTGAAGCTGATTGAAGCCAGTTTCATACAATAAAAGATAAGAAAAAAAAATGAAACAGTTGACTTTTGCGTGTTATTTCCTTTTTAGCTCACCTCAACGAAGTTGGGGGAGCTTATGTAATACCCTCGGCGTCGGCGTCGGCGTCCGTGTTGGCGTCGGCGTCCCAGGTTAAGGTTAAGTTTTTTGGAGCAGTTTTCTTTTTAAGTACTTTTATGTCCTATATTGATTAGACATGCATGGAAGATGGTTCTACTGTGTTTCATTGTACCATTCAAAGTTTCAGATGCTGCAGTTTCAGCAAAGGAATGACCAGGTTAATGTTTTTGGAGCAGGTTAACATTTTTGGTGCAGTTTTTGGTGTAGATTTCATTTCCAAGTTACTATAAGCCCTATGTTGACCAAACTTGCATGGATGATACATCTAAGGATGCATACTACCAGGCTTGCTTCAGATGCTGAATCTGACCTACATTTTCCGGTTGAGTGAACAGGTTAAAGTTTTTGGTGCAGGTTTCATTTCCAAGTAACTATAAGTCCTATGTTGACCAAACTTGCATGGATGATACATCTAAGGATGGATACTACCAGGCTTGCTTCGGATGCTGAATCTGACCTACATTTTCCAGTTGAGTGAACAGGTTAAAGTTTTTGGTGCAGGTTTCATTTGCAAGTAACTTTAAGCCCTATGTTGACCAAACTTGCATGCATGATACATCTAAGGATGAATATTACCGGGCTTGCTTCGGATGCTGCATCTGACCTACATTTTCCAGTTGAATGAACAGGTTAAAGTTTTTGGTGCAGGTTTCATTTGCAAGTAACTTTAAGCCCTATGTTGACCAAACTTGCATGGATGATACATCTAAGGATGCACACTACTGGGCTTGCTTCGGATGCTGAATCTGACCTACATTTTCTGGTTGAGTGAACAGGTTAAAGTTTTTGGTGCAGGTTTCATTTCCAAGTAACTATAAGTCCTATGTTGACCAATCTTGCATGGATGATACATCTAAGGATGCATACTACCAGGCTTGCTTCAGATGCTGAATCTGACCTACTTTTTGTGGATGACTGAAAATGTTAGTTTTTAATACATGTTTCATTTCCAATTAACTATGAGCCCTATAATGAGCAAACTTGCATGGACGATACATCTTAGGATGCACACTAATGGACTTGCTTCGGATGCTGAATTTGACATACATTTTTCAGATAATAGACCAGGTAAAAGTTATGGTTGCAGGTCTATTACCAAAAACCTATAAGGCTCATATAACATAGTATAAACCGAACTTGCACAAATGTTGCATCAAGAGATGAAAATCTCAAATTTGCTTCAGATGCTGGATTTTGATTACATTTTCATTAAGAAGAACTAGTTTAAATTTTTTATGTAGGTCTATTTCAAAGTATCAGATCAAAATTGCTTAAATATTTTCATTTTTGGAATGTACACTTTTTTTTTGGTTAATTGTGTGACTTTGCCTTACTTAAAGACAACATTCGTTGAGGTGAGCTCTGTAATCTCTGATTACCTATGTTTATTTGTATGAAGATATTTTTCCCAATTTCAACCAAATATCGCTATTTTTCCCAATCTGGACGGCCCCGGCCCCTGGAATCAAAGGGTAAAAAAATCCCTGAATATAGTGAAATGGTAATGAAAATAAAGGTCAGAATCCACAGTGAATCGAACTGTCAAGTGAATATGAAAATAAATGTCAGATTTTAAAGGGATACAAATTGCTCACGTGTTGGATAAGACGGGATGTCAAGTTACACAATAACATGTATGTAAAGAACATGGAAAATAGTGGAATTGGAGTGAAAGTAAAGGTCAGAATTCATAGTGAATCAAACTGCAAAGGTGGCAGATTACAGGGGGGTCAGTGTAAATAAACATGAAAATATATAAAGTGAGTATGACCGTAAATTTCAGAATTCAAAGGGTTACAGATTGTTCAGGTGTTAGATTGGGCAGTTTTCACTGTATCACCAGTGATATTTTATGTTTTATTAAATATACTCTTTTCCAAGAATTTACTGATTTTAAGCCCTCTGTAACTTTTAACAGTCTACAATGTTCTCAAAACAAATTTAATTTTTCTGTACAATTTTGTTCTGTATAGTGCCAGCTTCCCAGTGTGTACCTAGCGTCCACTTTACCTCAAGTGAGAGCGACCACAGCCAGGACATGCTTCATGAGCTGCAGGCCTTGGAGAACGAGTTTGATGAGTTGGATAAGGAAATTAACTCTCTGATACAGGAGAGCTGTTTATGATATTACAGAGGATTTATTTATGCCGTGAAGTTTGATATGGTGATCAGTTGTAACTTGGACTTTACTTGGTGCATATATCATTAAACAATGTTAAGATTTAACACTGTTTTTGTTAGCAGCCTAGAGTTCCGGTAGTTAACTACTACATAAGTGATTGTTTTTAGAATGTCATAGAATCTAATTTTTATTTTTCATTATTTGGACATTTATATCTAAAGAATTTTTTTTTTGGGGGGGGGGGGGGAGACAAAATGGTTTATAATAATTTCTGAAAAGCAAAATCAAATAAATATTGGTAAAATCTTAAAAGAAATCTACTTGAGATATCAAATTTTCAACTTGATGGTTTCAGAGATCCAGGATTGGTGATGTTATTTTCAAAAAGTACTCTGAAATAGAGATTGCTTCAAATGGTGCTTCTTCCAGTCCTGTTAACTCTTACTATTTTGCCGTATTTTTTTTAACGGATATTAGTCCAAAATACGTCTTATGTTTTGCTATTAAGAAAATACAGAAATCATAAATACATTTGTTTGGAAATTAGCAGTTATAGATTTTGGTATGATCTGTCTCAGTTTAATGTTTTTTAATCGCCAAAAAGAAAGTGACAAAGACCATGTTTATAAACCATATTTTAGTAATCAGAAAAGCAGTTCTTCGCCATTTATGTAAGTAAAATCGAAGGAAAATAAAATCTTACAGGTAAATGTTAAACACTGTATAAGTAGAAATTTTTGCGAGACGCAAATTTAGCGATTTCTACCTAAAATCTGGAATTTTATTTTTAGCGATAAGTAATTTTAGCGATTTTAAAATGCTAACAACTAAAGTAGCTATTACAAATAAAACGCGATATTCAATTTTAGCGATGTCAGCACCCTCGGTAATAATGCCAAAATTAAATCCTCGCTAAAAATTCTACTTATACGGTATTACAGACAAATCTATAGAATTAAAAATACCGAGAGACAACGCTATCATAATGGATAAACAGGTCTGTTCTTATCCAAGAGTTTCTGATATATACTACTCTCTCAAACCAGGTATTATGAGGAGAATAGCGGATCAGAAACCCTTATAATAATGATGATCGGTTTTTATATACAGTGTAGCGCCTTTCTAGCTAACCCTTGGTTAGCAAAGATGTAATTGACATCGTCAAACGCCATCTGGCGAACAGGGATAAGAAAAAATTATAGAAGTGACGTAATTTAGAAAAGTAGTTGTAAAATGGTATTTCAGATTTATATTGTGTCAGTTTCTGTTCAGCACAGAAAAAAGGAAGACCCAAGAACATGAAGTAGAGTAATGATTGTCATATGCAGGTTGTTAAACCTTGTGTATTTAAAAACTAAATTTGGGTCCTAACAACATTAATGATTAAGTGGAAACTGAAATTAAATCTGATCAAGAGCAAGAAACAGAGAATTTTAATGGATCCTCGAATGAAGAATGTTTTGTAAGTGTATTTGGAATATCTCAGAAATCCCTCGAAATATGTTGTGAATAAGGGTCGCAGTCAGCATGGTCAGTACAGTGTATTAATTATAAGAAAGAGGTCATCGCGTTGAAAAAAAAAACGTAAATTATGTTAAACTGTGCTGTAGTGCAAATGAACGTGCATGCATTTTCCTCATTGTATTATTTTCCTGTAGTTTTAAAACGCATTATATAAATGTTGGATTTTTTTTTTCTTTTTGTATGTTTTTTGCTTTGACAAGAAAAAGGAAGTTAAAATTCCTAGCGAAGAGAAACTAAACTGGATATGTTGATCCTGTCTACCTTTTGCGGGACAACCCCTGTAGGATGTAATGCAACGGTATGTATATATTCTTTGGGATTTAAATAAGGAATGATACATTTATCAGTAGCAGATTCAGGAATTTCATAAAGGGGGGGGGGGGGGTGCGGTGAAAAGTAGGGAATTTTTTAGGGGGGGGGCTACATTGAAGCTCACACTGGGTACTTTCGAGGTGAACAATTGTTCTCTTCTTAAAAATATATAATATACATGTGAAATATTATACACAGTAGAATATATTTGCCGGATTTAAGGACAAATTTTAATTTCTTAGATGAAGTTATATATATATATATATATATTTTAATTTATAAACTGGAATATTAAAGTGTTTCTTAATCTAAATTTTGAATTCATACTGAGTACGCATTAATGTATTAAAAAAAAACCAATTGACTGCTTCTAACTATAGTCTTGTATATTTGAAATCCCTTATAGTAGGATTTTTTATTCAAACCTCTTGAAATAATGTAATTATTAATGATTCAGACCTACTGCCTTAAGTTACCATATTTTACATATAAATAGGGGGGAAAAAAATCTTATAAAAATGCATGTATCTTCGGAAATTTTTGCTTAGAATTTTTTAAGTAATTTTTTAAATTCAGATCTGTATTATTAAATCTCCGTTTGGGTGTGAAAGATTACCGGTAGCTCTTGCATGAGGAAAATGTACTCTATAGCTATAATCGTATGTGTTATTTAAAAACTTTTTAAAAAAATATCAGTTACGATATTTTCCATGCGAATTACGCAATATTGTCAATTTGAAGTGACGGTGTTTTGTTATCGACCGAAAAAAGTATATATGGCGGATCCAGAAATACTAGAAAGGATGAAGTGCATTTTTTTCTACAATTATAAGGCGCTGCAATTCGTCCTTTTTCTACAGAAAAAAGAGAATATTTAAAGGAATACCACCACTCAAAGTTGGGATCACTTGCTGGTGTTTGATGCAACTGCCTTTGTTTACACTTTAAATATGGGTTCAAGAACTCACTTACTCGAAACTTCAAATCATATATTATTCGAAGTCGAACATTTTAAATAAAGATCGGGTTCGAAATACATGCAATTAAGCAAGCCTGTACAAGTTATATTTAGATCTGGAATTTCCCATGAAGTCCCAAGCAGTTTTCGTTTTTAAACAAGATTTCATCGTTGACACTGTAATTAATAAGGTATTTTCTTAATATTTACTTTCACGGGATATAGAAATAACCTAATGTTAACATTTAATAGAGGTTTAGGGCTGAAAACAAACGTCAGAAGTCTTGCAATGTGGTTACTTTCATTTTCAGGGAGAAAATCTCGGAATAGTCCATCAGATCTTCATGTAGTCCGGAGACATGTCGGGTCTACAGGACAGACAGTACAAACTTTATAAAGAAATCTTGAAGGATTTCCGTAAAGATGTGGAACCACTATCTCTCATGGATTACCTAGCAGGCTGTCTAACTGAGGATGACATAGTAAGATTATAAATAAAGTGCCAATTTTTAATCTAAACCTGATACATTCAGTATTAGACCTGATTCATTTGGTTATAGGAATGAATTTCCTATTGAAAAACATTCATTTGTGATTTGGTTTATCTGGACGTACAATATTAATAGAAAATTTATTATATGATTGAATTGACACCTGATATAATGTAATTAGGACAGGGTTCGTACAAAGCTGTCACACAAGGGGAGGTCAGTTGCAGTGGGGGAGTTGTTGGACAGACTTCGGAGAAGACCGAACTGGGAGAACAATCTACTCGAGGCGTTACTACACCCAGAGCTCAAACTCCACCATCTCACCAAACTGTTCATTGAAAAAAGCAGTAAGTACAGTAGTTGTAATCGAAGATCTAAATCTCATCAATTATTGATTGTTAAATTTTGTGATTCCTAATTTTTTTTTAAATGCTCCGAATTCTGAGCCATCTCTCTATTCTTAAAATGTTACATAAGGCCATCTTTGAATATTTGTTTGCCCTCTGCTGACCCAGGATAAAAAAAATATTGGGTTGGTAGGTAGGTGTTAAAGAAATTTCTCCTAGAAATTTTCAACATTAAATGCTGAATGTTCAAAATCTACTGAAATAGAAGGTACTTATAAACTTTAAAGTAAGTTTTTAATGAAATGAGAAGTTTCAGAATGATTGGTTCCTGGAGTTAAACAAAGTTTTCAGTTAGGCCATTTTTAGCCAGTCAATTGGGAGAGGCAAAACATTTTTTTAAAGATGGCATAAGAAGACAGAACAAAGCTGCTGTTACTTTCACATAATTATCTTAAATTATTTACCTGAAATCAGCCGTTGCAATATCAAACTGTCATAAAAAATGTTTCCATTCAGATATTGTATGTAAATAACATTTTTCCATTTTTACCCTAATGTACTGTACTAAAAGGAAAGATTAATTAGCATATTTTATGGAATTTTATTCTATTCGATTTCCTTTTATCATGTTTAAAGAGAACTTAAAAAAAATCAAGTGTTAAAGTCAGTTCTGAATTTATTCCCTAAAAGTATCTCCTCCTTCCGAATATAAAGTCAATTTTATAGTAACCTTTCAAATGAATTCTTTTCTCAAATTATTCAAACAGATTAGTAATACATGTAATTATACTTCTACATATTTTTCTTATTTAGCTGAATTGCAAATAAAGATCACTCTGCACACAAAATGCCAAGATGGACACAACTGTGCATCAACAGAACAGATACCCCTTAATGTTAGTTCTCAGGTGCAGGTCACTGAGAAAGAACAGGAAGAAGAGCCAAAGTCTGAACTACAAAAAGTATTGGAGGATTTTAAGGCCAGGGTCGACCCTGAAGATTTCCTGCAGTATCTAGAAAACTTGAAAGAAAAGGATGAAGTAAGAAACTTTGAACTAAAAAAAATGCAACAAGTCCCTTCACTCTTTTTGGCTCATCTGAGTTGAAATCTTGAGTAATTTGAAAGGAAATTTGAAAAGTAGGTCTTTGACCAAGAGTGAATACTAAATAGCAACACTATCTAAAAAGGTCTACAATTATTATTTTTTTGCCATAAGGGTAAAAAGCATCAACATTTTTCTAAAGGATTCCTGTTTTACCAGAAATGTTTGGATTTTTTAATATGGAAACAAAGTAATTTTCAATGATTTGATATCCACAACAGGATGCCATAAAAAGTAAGCAGGAAGTAGATGGAAGAGCTGCCGCAGCAGAGGAACTGATTTCTCGTCTACTCCAATACAAACACTGGAAGAATGACCTGGAAAAAGCATTGAAAACGCCTGGCAGTAGTTTGGAGGACCTAGGATTGACCCTTAGTAGTAAGTTGTTATTAGATGATACAATTAACCAATTATTAAGAAAATATTTTATTTGTGATTCTCCATTCTGGTTTCTATCTGCGCCAACTAATTCATGCAACATTGGCAATATTATACAATTATTGCATGATAGAGAGGGAGACATGTCTCCCTAACATTCCTGAAATAATTTTTTTATTATACCGTCAATCAAGCACAATGCAGGAAATATAGAGAAAATCCAATAAATAAAGTAAACATTTGATGAGAAAAATATGAAACAGTTGTAAGTTCACCACAAGCGCTTCATAAAAAAAAATCCTTTGAAAAGTCATTCTGATTTACACACTAGTAACATTCATTCCAACTCACAGAAACACTTTTCTAAATGTTTATAATTTAATTTTAGTTGTAACACGTCATTTGATTGGTTAAATGGTTTTATCCATTTTGTATAACATAACTTGCCTATGTCACAATGAGTTACGTCAGAAACATATTACTCTGCTTGACGTTAAATTTAAAATAACGCTCAATTTTAAACCTTTTTCCGGAGGAAATATTGTTTTCTTGTCTACCCTGAAATTAAATTATAAGGAATGAAGCTTATTTCAACTTATGTTATCTGATATAACAAAACTTGGGGTAGTTTACACTTTCTTTTAAACCGCTTCGTGGTTTATAAAGCATAAACTGCCCCGAGTTATGTTATATCGGATAACATAAGTTGAAATAAGCTTCATTCCTTAAATATTTTACAATTTTATATTGACATAATTAATCAAAGATATAAACAATCGATCTCAGCAGTATTCATCATAGTCACTGCATTATGATGTCATAATTGTGGAATACGACTTGAAACAAATTCAGCACACCTCAGCCAATTACATCTAGAAGTAGGGTACCGCAGTCAGCCAAGGTGAGCTGAATGCATGAAACACGAAGTTTTGTTGCAGGGCAAACATGACGGTCACGTGACTGTCTCGGCCAATCAGATTCTACTGAATAAGTGTTTATTTATATGAGGTATAATAATATTCATAAACATATTTATAAGTGAATAATTGGTTGGTGGCGAGAAATTTTCATGAGTAAAAGGTCACAAAACAAATGCAGATATTTCTCGCTCCCAAAGAATAGTTTGTTTACAGTATTATTGTATATCGGGTTTTTTTTTTCGCAAAGATCTATTTTTCACATTTTTTGCAACCATTTTTAATTCGCAAAATATAAAACACACAGAAATTATGTCAGCTATATTGTGACATAAAAACATTACCATTTTAAACGAAAAAATCTAAAACCGGGTATACGGCATGTTACATGTATAACCTAAAGAGGTTTTTTATTTCCATTGAAGCTCTTTTTAGTCAAGACTTCAGTGAGTTGTTATGATCTATTGTAAAAGAATCTTTCAGTAAAGAGAATTCATTTTTTCAAAGGAAGAGCAATGCCTTTTTGAGAAAAAAGATGATGAAGGAAAGTGAAAGTTTTATAATATCACTTAAGAAATAGGGCCCAGTGGCCATGAAAATCTAAAAAATTTAAAACATTTTGATTTTAAAATCTTCACATTCTTGATATAGATGAGCTTACACATGCAGTTTACCTGGTAATAAGAATTGGTAAATTGGAGTGCAAAGTTTTGAAACTGTACTACTCAACTATGCTGATAAAAATACCTATTCATTTGCATATCATTATTATTTGTTTCAGGCATTGATGCGGAAGTGAGTGAGCTTGAGAGTGCAATAATAAGTATCAACAACCAGAACCTGGGGGTAAGCTATCAACTGTTCCATAGTAAACAGTTAAAGTATATCATTGAGGGAGTTGGCTAGATTCCAGTTCCCCAAGACCAGGACTATTTCCCAAGGCTAGGGAAACAGTCCTAGTCAAGGGGAACTGGAATCTACCTAACTCCCTTAACGAAATACTTTTTAACTGTTTTATTATACCCATACAACAGTCAGGGGTGTGACTGAAATCCATCATTTTTAAAAATGATGATTTCTAGTCATTAAATTGATTCTTAATAATGATTGAAATTCATCTTTTTTTAGAATAATGACGAAATACAGTCATTTCTATTTTGAAATTTATTTTAGAAATAGAGCTACCTCTGATATTAAAAATGACTGTTTTTCATCCTTTTTTTATCAAATTGTAAGGTCTGGGCACACTGAATTATCTCGTTAGTTTTACAGGGCGCACTAAATTATTTTGGTTTCAATTTCTTGTCAAGATGTTTCTCTACACAAGGGTCTTTGGCAGCATAGTGTACTATATCTTATTACTGTAGTAAATGGGTTGGAAATATTGACTTGGGAATGGAAATATGATGAAAAGAAGTCATGTTTACAAAAATAAGAAGAATGTGTACATTAATATATACTTAGAAGAAATGACCATTATCAATCATTTTTAAAAATGATGGATTCCAGTCACACCCCTGACTGTACAAATAGAGGATTACAAATGACGGGGAATTAGCTTCCTGACTAACGCAAGGGGATTCGTCCATTAACATATTAGACCGATACAAAAGTAAAATCTAGAGGATTTCGGATAATTTGGGAATTTGCTTCCAAAGCAGGGATAAGCCCATTTGACTAATGAGCGGGGAATTAGTCCATTCACAGAGATTTCTAGGGAATTATTCAAATTTTACTGCTTAATTTTTAATTGGAAAAAATCAGTAGACAGGGATTTATCTAACTTTTTTGTTTTACTACCGTTTTATATGTAAAGGGGAAAAATGAGAGCCGCAGGCTCGATATGAGCGCCGGAGGCGCGAGTATTCTAGGGGGGTCCGGGGGCATGCTCCCCCGAAAATTTTTTATTAATAAATAAATGGAGCAAAATCCTGCATTCTTAGAGCTTCTGAGGGCCATTTGTAGAACTTTACAAAGGCCACAAAAACTTCACTTTTTAGACAAAATATTAAATAACAAAAAAAAATTAAACCAGGTCAATACTTTATTTAATTTTTTCTCTCAATATCTATCACAAATCAATTCTGTTTTTCCTGTTTCACTACTAACATTGTTTTTGTTGTTACTCTATTCTTCCGATCCATAGTGATATAATCTCCGTCTTACTCATCTACACTTTTCTTTTTTACTCTGCAATCCAGACGTATATTTTGACATCATGGACATAGCACATGTTTACCGATCAATATCAAATAGAAGCTTGAATATTCTAATCTCTCTTTTAAAAGCGTTTGGCGAATTAATGACTTGGATGGTAAATTAGGATATGCTGTTAAACTTCAATCGGACAAAAACGGAAAATTTCAGTACGATGTTTTACATATTCTCTGGTTAATCAAGAGAATTTTCTATCTGAAAAGGGGAATTTTTTCACTTTTTCAAGAGGGGAAAGGTACCGTTTACCGGTAGTAAAAACAGCCTTGATAAATCCCTGGTAGAGGTAAAATAATTTCATTTAAACTGCATGCTTTTGCAAAGGATAAAATTGCAAAATTAAAGCTATCATAAAGTGAATTTTACAACAAGAAAAAATGTGTTGTGAAGAATCTAAACATAAAAAATAACCCATTTACCTTGAATGAAACCATATCTACGAGTGTATCGGTATATGAATTATATGTACAAACTATTTTGTAAAATATTAATTGAAGATACATATTACACTGTAGAAGAGAAATGTTCAAAGCATCAAACAGTTTTCATTATACCCCCCGCAGACGAAGTTTGGGGGGGGGGTATATAGGAATCACCTTGTCCGTCTGTCTGTGAAATCGTGTCCGGTCCATATCTTTCTTACAGAGGGACATTAGAATCTACTACACCACACTAAGATTGCTCATGACCTAAGGGTGTGTCATGACCTTGACACAAGGTCATTTTGGGAAGTTCAAGGTCACTGGAAGAAAAATTTCATAATTCGTGTCCGGTCCATATCTTTCTTACGGATAAACTTTGTAGGTTTTCATTTCACACAAAGATTGCCCATGACCCAAGGGTGTGTCATGACCTTGACCCAAGGTCATATGGGGAAGTTCAAGGTCACTGGAAGAAAAATTTCATAATTCGTGTCTGGTACATATCTTTCTTATGGATAAACTTGGTAGGTTCTCATTTCACACAAAGATTGCCCATGACCCAAGGGTGTGTCATGACCTTGACCCGAGGTCATTTGGGGAAGTTCAAGGTCACTGGGAGTAAAATTTCATAATTCGTGTTTGATACAAATCTTTATTATGGAAAAACTTACTTCTGAAAAACCCAGTGGGGGTATTTTGTCCCGTTTGGACAGTTCTAGTTTAAACTGTTTAAAGCTATATATCTCTGACTAACCAGACTTATATGACACATTTAATCACAATTATAATAGAAGTAAATGTAATATAGATATAATTTACAAAATCATGCATTAATTGGTTGTAAAACTAATTACTACATTGAAAGATTATCAGAAATATCAGGATCTTTTTTCTGATGTCACAAGGTAAAGACGGAGGTTGTCTTTGGACACAAGATTGCCTGGAATATATATCTACTGGGTAGATTAAAAAAAAACTGTGCTTGACAGACAATTTTGGACATTGATACCCCTAAGCAGTAGATGACTGTTATTCATTTTGGAGTCACAAAGTCAAGTTTAAGGGTCAAACATGCTTGGACATGTCAGTTGGTCCTATTTCTTTTGTAAACTTGGACAATTTGTCTGGCAAAAAGGGATCAGAATTTAAATAATATACATTTTACATTTTGGCCTAATAAAACTGTCCTAGAACCACACATTTACCATCCTAACCAGATTAAAAATATCGGATATATCTTATACAATTACCATAAGTTCTTATTGGTTATTATAAGTTTTCTGTTTTCAATTTTAGCCACATGAAGTAAAACAGAAGAGGATATCTATTGTGCAAGAGTTTTTTGGACGTAGAGTTCTAGATGTTCAGTCAGAGGAAGATTTACGTGGGGTTATTTCACTGACAGATGGTGTAAATGCTTACCTCCTGAAATATGAACAAGGGTCCTTAATTCTAACTCTGGCTATCAACAGTATGGAGACGTTGGAGAGCATCCAAAAGATGTACTACGGTGGAGTGCTGCTCGATACTATACGGAGAGACATACTTGGACAGGATCGACTCTATCAAGTCAGGCACTCAATGGAGCAATTTGAACTGATAGCTGAGAAGTATGGGATGGATAAATCTATTCTTGACTTCAGTGCAGACAGCTTTGACGTAGAAGTACAGATCAATCCAGTGGACATTCAGTACAGTCTTCTAAATCTGAGGGCTTACAAAGGTAAAAAAAAAATAAATAAAATAGCAGACCATAATATTGGGAAGGATCTGTATAGTTTAATATTTACAAAGGTCTTAAAATATTTAAGAATTGTGTATGTTAAAGGTTGTTAACTATATATAAAATTTCATTTTAAAAATAATGTGAACTAAAATAAATTGATAATTATATAAACTTCTCTTGTCAGTCTTGTGACACATTCAGCATAAATTACCAGATTATGTGTTAGATAACAATATTTAAAAATCTAAGGTTATTTTTATTTTATCTTTTTTTAGACTCTAGCATTCCACGCACAGCTGTTCAGAGCTTAAGGGATTTCAGAAGGAAAGTTCACCCCAAATTGCAGTGTGCAACAAACAAACATGAGTATTATCTCACACCTACCCTCTGCGAGTTGTTAGAAGATCCATTCGTCCAAACTCATTACGAAGAGCTCGTATCTAGTTTGGAAGGATCAGATTTTGAGGATTCTGTAGTTATTACTACATGGGTGGGGAAAAAGTTGGAAAGTTTTGTGGCAGATCATAAATTTAAGGCTGAATTGAGAAAACTTGGGATAGAACTGGCAGATGCAAGAAACAAAGATACAGGTAGAAAAGAAGAGCAATGTTTCTTTGGTGTCAAAAGGGTTCAAGATACGTTTAGACCTCAAATAGCAGGTACAGGAAAACCAGACTCCTGTGTTCTCTCGACAGAGATATGGGAAGGGATACTGAAGGAGGGGATCATTATATTCTCCAAGGTCCACCAGAAATACTGTTTTAGTAGTCCAGTCCTGGAGCAGTATCTGATATACAAGAGTGGTGTTTTGTCTGGTGTGCAAATATTATATGGGTACTATCCTCTCTTTAAGTTGGCAGAAAATCCACACGAGTTTTCCACAATTCTGATCAATTCAGATTTTACGAACAATCCATCTGGAAAGATGGAATATGTTTATTTACATTATGTTTTCATGAAGTTAGCTGATCAAAGGGATCGACTTGATGCTCTCAAGACGTTAGTTACAGCAGAAAAGTTGTGCACAATGGAAGTTCTAAAGGATACCCTGGAAATCCAAGCAAACATCCTACATATTCTAATTCAAGAACAAATGATTGACAGATTTGAATTGTCCATTGGCCCCAGCAGCATGACTCAGTGGGATATTTCAACAGGAGTTGTTCATAAATCTATTATGATCCCAGATATTGAGATTCTAGTTAATCTTGCAAGTGTTCTTTCAACTCTAGGGACATTGAATATTCATGTCACAGTAGATGAAAATGGACAAAGACTGACAGATACCAAATTGAAAATCAGCCAAGGTGGTCCTGTGTTTGGAAGAGGCTATTTGTCACTTAAGTTTTCTGGGGCAAGTTTGAATCCAACAACAGATGTTAGGATTCTATGTGAAGGGCTTCAAAAGACAGAAAACTTATTCGAGCTTGATTTGTCTAGAACAACTCTTACTCCAGAAGCTTATAGAGATATAATTAAAGCTTGTAGGTTTTCTCCTCTTACTTCTCTTGTTTTGAATGACACCAGGCTGATGGACCCTATGAAGCCAGAACCATTAGGACTGCATTTCCTCCCACAGCTAAAACGGTTGGAAATGGAAAGATGCAATCTTGGCGATGCGGGCTTGCAAGCCATGTCTTCAGATTTCAAGATAGCTGCCAATCTGACTGAGATCAATGTTGCCGACAATAAAATCACTGGTGCGGGAATAATGGAAATGTCACCTTTACTTATGGACAAAGAAAATTTAAGAATAGTTAGAGTTCATGAAAACATGATTGGATACGAAGGCGCCGTGTCACTGTCGATGCTGTTAAAAAAATTACCTCTTCTTGAGGTTGTAAACCTATGCAGTTGTAAGGGAATCTCAGAAAAAGGGTTTGAACTGATTATAAAATCTCTGAATGGGAAGAATTTGAAGAAAATGAATGTAAGGGAATGTGGATTTTCCCAGTCAGTTACGGAGAAGTATTTTAATCTTCTGAAAAACATGCCCCATTTTCAGCACCTAGATTATGGATGTAATGCCATTGGTGTTTTAGAAGGAACCATGACGGAAGGACTTTCAAACATGTCAGCATCCTTTTTAGAAATGTTGAAATGCAATCAGCATTCTTGGAACCATCTGAGTTTGTGGAAGTGTCAGTTAGGCTCTACAACCATATTCACATCAAGTGATCGTCTGCTGCATCTGTCAACCTTGACGGACATTTGTCTTCAAGAGAATGACCTCGATGACACAGCAGGAAGTTGCATTGGTGAGTGTATGGTGAAGTCCTGGCATAGTCTGCGTTATCTCAACCTAAGGCAGAATAACATTGGCGACTCTGGAGCAAGGAAGATTTTAGATGGAATCCTTACCAATCCAAAACTTGAGAAGATTTATCTAGACAGGAACTCCATACAAAGCATCGAATTGGCCAAAGATTTGATCCTGTTCTTCTTTGAGAAGGCTCCACTTAGTCTGAAAGAAATGGACATTTCGTACAATGATGTAACGGAGTATAGGCGTCCTCAGCTGGAGATTAAGAAATATTTAGGAAGTATGAAAGGGGCAGATATCAAAGAGAGTGATGGACACACAGATCTATCTTTTAAAGGTCGGACAATGAAACTGTAGATAAAGGAGTAGAAGACTCGATTATCCACATCAAAACATTTAGGATACTTCAAAGGATTCAGCATTAACTCAAATATCGTGTTTGTAACAAAGTTTCAAATTTGAATATCAAAAATTATATCTGCTTTTGTTATTGCTTAAAGGTTTTTCTTTCTGGAATCTGAGTAGCAATTAGGAGAGGAACTGTTTGAAGAAAACACATCAACCAAAATGTAATACAGAGGACAAAGTGAAGTGAGAGAGAAGAGAAGGAGTGATGTTAAGTAAAGCATTCAAGCTTTTTCAATCTATGTTCCTGTGGATTGAGAAAGATTGATAACAATGGTAAAGCTTGGGAATTGGAATACCAGTACTTTAGTTCTGTCATAATTAGTCTGTTTTACTTGGTGATTAATGTATATGACGATGAGTTTTGTACTACATCTTGTAAATAAATATATGTATATTTTTTTTTCATTTTTGTGTTTTATTTAACTTCTATAATTAGATCTACTGCATAGGACGCAGAGCAAACATTTCCATTCACTAGCATTGTTATGATTATAAGTTATAGGTCCCATGATTAAGCCTCGGAGTACATGTTATATGTATTATTGTAAAATCTTGAACACGACAAACGTCTGATTTTTTGAATAACTGATAGTATTGTTTTAATCAGAAATTTCGGCTTGTCATTTATTTTGTATGGTGGTTTGAAACAAAGCAACAGCTAGATGAGTATTTAAATCACGATCTTTACAAACATATCCCCAAAACATGAGAAGTTTATCCACTAAATAAAAAATGTACGGTCTGGGAACGTGGCTCTCATAAGATATCGGTCAAAAGGAGAAAAAAGGTCGACACTCGTGTAAGTTGAATTAGTTGAATTACTAAAGATGGCTTCAAGACAACAAAAATGTGTCTGCACATGTTAACATGGTGAAAATATTGAAATTGAAAGGTCTGAGATGTTTTGTTTAGCGTCTCTTCAAGAATTTGTTCACTCGTATTGAGGCGTCACTACTTGGAGGGCTACAAATTTAGACCTGTAGTATGCACTTACATCCATTTTTAGATCACCTGAGCTAAAAGCTCAAGTGACCCTTTCAAATGACTCATTGTCCGTTCGTCTGTCTGTAAACTTTCACATTTTCAACTTCTCAAGAACCTCAAGGCCAATTTTAACCAAACATGGCGGAAAGCATTCTTTGCTGAAGAGGAGTTTCATGTAAAATGAAGGGTCTTCCCTCACAATGGGAAATATTCAAGAAAAGACAAAAATAATATTAATTAAAAATCTTCTCTAGAACCGCTTGGCCAGAAAAGCTGAAACTTTTTCTGGGGTAAAGTAGATTCTAAATCGTAAAGATCAGGACACCCGGGGAAGGGCGGGGCAAGAATAGGGAAACAAAGTTTCACATTATAAAATATCAGAAAAATCTTTAAAAACCTTCGTCTCAATAACCAGTTGGCCAGAAAAGCTTAAACGTACGTATTTGGAAGCATCCTGGGATAATGAAGACCCCCAGGGTTAGGGCGGGCCACAATAGAGAATTGGGCCAGCAAAAGTTGAATTGTATGAAGAAGCATTTTGAGATAGAGTAGATTCTAATTAAATTGTTAAAATCAAGACCCCGTGGGTAGGGCGGGGCAACAAAAAGGAATTCAAGTTTTACATTGAAATATATTTATCTTCATAAAACTATTGTTCTTTAGTACCACCGGGCCAGAAAAGCTGAAACCAATTGAAAGCATACTGGGGTCGTGAGGATTTTAAATTGCCCAAATTAAACTTATTGGGTAATGGCTGATTAGAGTTTTACAAAGACATGTAGGAAAAATCTTAAGGAATATGTAGGAAAATTCTCCAGAACCATTGGGCCAGGAAAGATGAAGCTCATGTGGAAGCATCCTCAGCCTTCTTTTTGAGTCTCAGAGTCTTTGGGCACAATTGGAGGTTAGCAATCTTCTTTTCAACTATTGCAAAATTATACATTATATATGCTTTATTGATATAGTGACGATGTTCCTAGACATATTGTAGGCAAACAAAGCAACAGTTTTAATAAGCAAGGGTTTTTCCCCAGATTTCTGAACATCTGGACCCTTTTGTAAAGTGTTCTGGTCCCTGCCAGGGCGCTATTTATTTGTGTTCTACTGAGAGAAGTTTCCGTTCCCATTCAATTCCGACAATTAATCACTGTAAATAATTTATTGGAAGGATTATTTAAAAAGAGCTAGAATTTAATGTAACAATTTTTATTTTATAATACAAAAAATACTTTAATAATTTTAAGGATCATGTGGAGAAAAATAACATATTAAATGTTCCTCAAAGACAAAAGTTCAAAAACAGCAACAAAAAACCCGTCTTGATTTGATGAATACATTGCAGATAAAATAGTAAATACATTCTTCATTAAATTCGGCAATGTTCAGGGTTCAGTTTGGTCATAGAAGCTAAATACTAAATACAACATCATGTGACGTCAGAGTCTAGACGTACCAACTGTCACGTGCGGTTTGAAGATATCAGCTCTTGCCCTATCTGTCGCATTGTCAACATATTAAGGCTTCCCCTCCTTTTTTTTTTTCTTGTGAATTCGGGGTTGACACACCTGTTTCCCACTTGTATGCACTATGTTATATCATGATGTAACCTTTTTGTCTCATAAGCCGTTTAAATAATTGTTTTAACAGATAAATGCAAAATGAGAGAAGATTTGCAACTTTTTCGTCATCCGCCTCAACAAATTTGTTACCGTTTTTCTTCCTTTTCGTATTTCTATTTAATTTCTAATGAATGTACTACTGATTTGTAAGTGTTCCAATTACAGAAAAATTACTCGCATTAGGATTTGTTGGTTTGCACATAATTGACAACCTGGTCACTTCAACTTGAAATTCGTCAAATGTCTGCAGATAAATCCAAAATATATATTAATATTTTAAATATGTATACTTATTTCATAAAACATATATATAACTCTACCATTTCAATATTGTAAAATTCATGAATGCTTGTTATAGTTGTAAAAACAAACAAACAAACACACTTATAAAAAGTAATTAGGTTTTTTTTTATTTCTTCAATCATTAATAAAATTAATACATAAATATGAAGATAATCTTATTTATATCCGTATGACTTTTTTCATGTACATGCTGTACATATTCCACGCATACGGTATCGTTCTAGTAAACATTAATATTTTAAAAATTACAAAACAAATCGCCAAAGTCTGTTCACCACAACTGCAAGGACTGACAATATATTGTGTGTTTGTTTTGCTTTAGAACGTGTCTACTCTGAATTTTCTTGATTATAGTATTAATATTTTTCGTTAATACACATCAGGATTGCCACTTTAGCTCTGCTGCACCTGAGTCAAAGGCCCAAGTGACCTTTTCTGATTGGAATTGTCTGTTGTCGTCGTTGTTGTCCTCACAAAGTATCCTAGGGTGAATTTGATTAAAGTTTGTTAAAATGAAGGGCCACGTCTTCTTCCCAACGGAGATAATTATGATGATGTGAAACATTAATGGCTTCATCAAAAATCTTCTAGAAAAATACTAACGTTATATTTGAAAGTATGAATTAAACTTAGGTGGAATCATTGTGAGGTAGTATACATTCAAGTTTGCTCGAATCATGACCTCGGGTTTTCAACATGAATGCATAGAGAAAACCTTTAAAAATGTCCTCAAGAACAGCAAAGCTATGATTAGTAATATTTGTATGGAAGCATTCTCAGATCATGCAGATAGTGTAGATACATGTAATTACATTGAAATGCACAGGGAAAATCTTCTCAAGAACCGTTAGGCCATGATTGGTCATACTTATTTGGAAGTATTCTCAGGTTGTGTAGATTCAAGTTTGTTCCTGTTATTCCCACTGGGGTTAGGGTGTGGCCACAATAGAAGATAAAACCTTTAATGAAAAATCTGTTTTTAATTTTTCAAAGAAATGTAGCATCCTCAGTTAGAGTGGTTTCAAGTTTGTTTATATCATACATCCATCCCCTTAGGGATAGGCTGTTATCACTCATAAATGCTGAAATCTTTGCCAAAGTGGTCAGGTGAGTGTTGTGGCATAAGGGCCTCTTCTTTAATCTGATTTGTTATTTTTGACAGCTTCCACAGAATGTGATATCATCGTGATGAAGGATTGTGATGAAAACGTCATGGACAGGTTTACATTTGCCTTTATATTTGGAGAAGATAAAAAAAAAATACATTACAGATAGTCTTCAAAAATCAATAAATAGAAGAGGTTGCTTATGTACAGGTTTTTGAATTATCACTTTGAGTATACAGGGATCATATTACATGTATTAAAGAATTAAAATTTAAGGTAGATGCGCCTGTATTTAGGATATAGTAAAAATAAAAGAGTTCGTTGTTTTAACTTGAAATTTATTGATTAATATTTGTTTCACCATATCCTCTGAGGCTAGAATGGAATCGGAAAATGGCTCAAACGTTATACACTTTCTAGTTTGAAGGATTAGATAAGTTTAAAGAGAACACATTATTAAATATTTCTTAAGAAAAACTTCGAAATCATAAATAATTTATATCATTTAATCAATTTTGACAGGTTCCAAATGATGTATTTTAAAGTGTAGCTTTAGAAAAGTAGAGGACCTTCTCATTTTACAGGTACTTAGTATATTACATTTCTTTGAATCTGAGTTTAGGTTTCATTTTAAAATTTAGACTTTAGACACATTTTTAGCTCTACTGGTCAGAGACCAGAAGAGCATATGCGATAGTAATGCATCCGGCGTCCGTCCGTCTTTCCGTCCGTCAGTAAACAATTTTTCAAAATGCTACTCCTCCTACAGATTTGGTCTGATTTCAATATAACTTTACACACAAGTAGACTACACTAAGATACATAATTCTGTGCATTGGTTTTTGATTATAATGAACGGTGTTGCCATTAGGGCTGTGTATTGAGCAAAAAAGATTTCTATACGATACGATACAATATTTTTAAAAGCGATATGCAATATACTGGATTCTAAAAGAAGTCCATCGAAAAGACTTATAAATCATTAAATGCATGAATTTCATAAAAAAGTGTTTTATCACCCATTTCAAATTTCTATCTCATTGTAATTACAAATAACACTTCAAATTAAAAATTTTAATGACAGTAGGGGGAAAACCAGGGTTCTGGCACAGTAGCCTCCCATAGGGTTAATATAGGATAGCCTCCCAGTAGCCTCCATGTAGCCTCCCAGGGTGTGAGGCTAAATATGACATGATTGATATAAATAATCAATCAATTAAGTATAATCAATTAGTTATAATCAATTAATAATTAATTAGTTATTATTAATTAGATTGATTAATTTGATAATAGGCATACCATAAGTAACTGTTTTATGTAGACTACATGTAAAACCACATTTAGGTATTTTCACTTTATTTGTATTTCAATTAGACGAAATCAAACG